TGTGTGTGTGTCTATTCGTGTGATGGCTCTTATTCCTGTAGGATATATTCCTAGGAGTAGGATTGCATTTTGTAGTGCTTATTTTTGTGGTGTTTATGTTTTCTTTGTTCCTCTTACTCTCCTGTGCTGAGTTCCTTTTGTTTGTGGATTTTTTTTTCATTTCTTTTGTTTTTGTAGGTTTTGTTTTTACCGAGACTTTGTGTTTTTGTTCTTTATTTTGATGAATGGGTTTGTTAACTTTCTATGTGGTTACCTTTTAATTACTGTTATTTTCCTAGATTTTAACCAGCCTATTATTACTTGGTATTGCTTGACTTCCTCACCATTAGAAGGTTCTATCCTTACGCTGTTTATTCCCTCTTTTATTGTTCTGATGCTGTTGTCATTTACAGATTAACCTCTCTGGTTCCCTTTTGTAATTCTTTTGGTTTTGCATAGTCCTTAAGAGTTCATTTCCTAGGTATCTGGCTAGTACAATCCTATGTCCTGTATTCAGCCTGTGGTCTGATATTGTTTGTTCCCAGATCGAAGGAGTTCCTTTAATAAGTCTTGTAAGTTTGGTTTGGTTTTTACATAGTCCCTTAATTTCTGTTTATCTGGAAATGACCTAATTTCACCATCATATTTGAATGAGAGTTTTGTAGGATATATTATTCTTGGCTGGCAATTTTTTTCTTTCAAGGTTTTATATATGTCATCCTGTTGCCTTCTTGCCTGCGTGGTTTCTGCTGAATAATCCGAGCTTAGTCTTATTGTTTCTTCTCTGTATGTGACTATTTGTTTTTCTCGAGCAGCTCTCGGGATTCTTTGTCTTTGGTGTTAGTGAGCATAATTATGATATGCCTTGGTGATTTTCTTTTGGGGTGTATCATATATGGCGTTTGTTGAGCTTCTTGGATGGTCAGCTTTTCATCTTCCATGATATTGGGGAAGTTTTCTGTCAGCACTTCTTCAGTGATCCTGTCTGTGTTTTCTGTGTTCTCCCCCTGTTCTGGAACTCTAGTCACTCGAAGATTTTTGCTTTTATTGTATCCCACATAATTCTCAGGGTGTCTTCATTCTCTTTGTTCTTTTTTCTGAGTTTTACTTGAACAGAGTTGTATCCAAGTGTTTGCCTTCAATTCCACTGATCCTGTCTTCCAGCATTTCAGATCTGCTTCTCAGCCCTTCTGTGACACTGCCGATTTCTGAAATCTTGTTGTTTATCTTTTGGATTTCTAATTGTTGTTTTTGTATAATTTCTAGCTGTGAATTTATTTTGGCATTTTGTTCCTGCATTATTTTCCTCAGTTCTTCCATTTTTTTGTCTGTATTTTCCATGAATTTGTCTGCCTTTTCCATGAATTTGTCTGTTTTTTTTTTTTTTCCTCATTTTTTTCCACTTTTTTGCTTCAACTCTTGGATAATTCTGAGTATTATAGATTTTAATTCCCTATCAGGTAGTTCTAGTGCCTTTTTTTCCACTGGAAAATAGTCTGGTATTTTATTTTGGACGCCTACTGGAACCATCCTGTCCTGTTTTAGTAAATGTTTTGATATTGTCTGCTGTCTTCGCAGCAGTCAGTAGTTATTTTTCTTGTTTATTGATTGTAGGTTTGTTTGTTTCGTCCTTTTTTTTTTTTTTTTTTTTAAATTTGGCTATGTCTGAGCAGGCGGGCTCTGCGTTCTTTGTTGTTTACTCATCTGTGGGCACGATACTTTTTGCCTCCTTCTCTAATTAGCAAGGTCGGTTGCTCAGATATGGTACAGCCAGGCAGTTCTAGCTGAAGAGTAGTTCCTGGAATGGGTTGTTTGTGGTACTTACTACAGCCACCAGGTTAGGTTGGTAATCAATGTAGGGCAGGTTCCGGTAGGCCCTGCCTGTACTGCTTGGTGGTGTTATGTTAAGTGCATGGTGCACGTAGGCGGGATGGAGCGGGGATATTGTGATGTGTGGAGTTCAGATGGGTATGGGAGAGAGGAGAGAGGAACAGGAGCCAAAAACATACAAACACACAAAAAAGATTGCTAGGGTAGCTTGACATTGGATTGGAGAGATGAGAGATTATGAAATGGAGAAAAACAAAAAAGGGAGGAAGAAGAAAAAAAAGAAAAGAATGAATAAATAAAAATTAGGAAAAAAAAAAGAAAAGTAAAGCTCCCAGGGATCCCACCGGTGTAGCTATGAGGTGTGGGGAAGTTGTTCCCAGGTGTTGATGTACAGCCTGGCTAGAAGGTGTAGAGGTATTCAGCTCCAGGTATTCAGGGGACAGGAAGAGAAGGAAGGTATAGAGGGATGAGAAACTGAGTAGTGAAGAAAGACAAAAAGGGAAAAAGAGGGAAAAGAAAAGGAAACAAATTAAAAAAAAGAATTAGAAAAGCCCCCCAAAAAACAGAAAAAAGAAAAAAACCACAAAAAAAGAAATGCGCTCAGGGATCCCTCTGCATGTCTGTGCAAGGTGTGGGGGTAGGTCCCAAGCTGTGTAGCACTGCCTGGCCAGAATGGGATCCCCATTTGAGAAAAGAAAAAGAAAACAAACAAACAGTTCAAAACAAACAAAAAAAAAGCCCCGGGATCCCACAATTGTGGCAGCACAGACCGGGAAGCAGTTCCACCCTCAAACGGAGCTCCGCAGCCCCTTAGGAAGAAGCAGAGATGGCGCACGGAGCCAGGTATTTGAGCGAAAGGAGGGGGAGGTGATGAGAGGTAAGGAAGAAATGAAAAGAAGTGAAAGAAGCAACACCAGTAGCCAACAAGTGGCACTCAGGGAGTCAGCCAGTGTGGGCGGGTGGAATCTAAGCAGCTGGTGCTTCCTGGCCAGGAGACTGTGACGGCATGAAGCAGAGGATGCTGAGTGGGGGTGAAGAAGGGTGGGTGCTGGGAAAGCGTGTATCGTTAGTTACCAGTTGTTCTGTCTCCTGCTGGAAGCTCCATGAAGCTGCTTTCTTGTACCCCCTATTTTCTGGTCTCTGATAGGAGTCCAAGATGGCAGATCCATGCTGCATTAGCTGATAGACGACCTCTGTATGAATCTCTCTTTGCTCTCCGTTTGCTGTTGGTTTCTCACTCCATTTGGTGCTTGGCTGAGTTCTTTATCTCTTCATTTAATGTTTTAGGGTTTCAGGATTGCTGTTTTCTCTGGCTCAGTTTTTCAGATCTTTGCTGTGGAGGGACAGCATGGTGCTTCTGCCTAGAGCGCCATGTTGCCAGAAGTTAATGATAACATATTTAGTGCCTCTGTTTTACCTTCTAGTTTGATGCATTGGTCCTGGTGTCTTTAAAGCTTGCAAGTGGCTATTCAAGGTAGAACAATTGGTTTCTATTCACCTGCTGCAACAGAGGAAGAAGGAGAGTCAGGAATGGGAGGATAATATAGATGTGTGGCTAATTGCCTCCATGAACAAGTGCCTCCTTTGCCTGAGAACAGAAGAACTGGATGGTGTCTGACCACCATTACTGAACATTTTGATCAAAGATTTCATAGAATCCTGATCGAAAGGAGGAAAGTAGAGAATAGAATTTCAAATTTTCATGGATGCCAGATTTTCTGGAACCAAAGGGGCTGGATGAATCCCTGATATTGTTGCCCTGACATAATCTTTAAAACTTAAGCCTAAAATATCCCCCAAGGTGTTCTTAAAACCAAATAATAGTTTAGCTTAACAAGTAAAGAATATCTGCCTTGAGCATTGTGCTTTTTTAAGATCCATCTATATGGGATCATACTGTCAATAACAACTCGAAAGATTAGATAGGAAACTGAGGGGACAGTGACTTTATGTTAATGAAGGAGGAACAACTCAGAAAAGGATGATGAGAATGATTGCACAACTCAAAGAATGTAATCAATGTCATTAAATGGTGCATGTAGGAACAGTTGAATTGGTGTATATTTTGCTGGGGATATTCTCAACAACAAAATTAGATTAAAAATAAAAATATAGTTTAAATAATGAAGAATAAAGAATTATATATGTAATATTTACAGCCAAACTATTGTTAACATTATTAATGAGACTATTTCAGTATTTCTCTTAAGATGGGGTACTGACATAAATGAGTCTAATGAAGGTTAACATTTTTAATTTATTCTTGTAGGAGATATTTAGATTTTAGGTATTATACTAAAAATTTTGTCTCACTTCCTTTATGCTAGCTTTCTATTTATATTCAGAACATTGAAATTAAGTTTTAATGCCCCAAAGCCAAAGATATTGTTGTAAGTTGTTATTTGAAAAAAGACTCCAGTAGCATGGTGTAGTGGTTAAGAGCTACAGCTGCTAACTGAAAAAGGTCTGCAGTTCGAATCCCTCAGCCGCTTCTTGGAAACCCGATGGGATGGTTCTACTCTGTCCTGTTGGGTTGCTGTGAGTCAGAATTGACTCAATGGCAATGGGTACGGGGGAGTATTGAAGGAATGTTTATCGACTAGATAGGTTTTTATGTAAAGACATCACTTATCGTAAGCATGTCATAAGCATTATCAAACTTGATAATATTTAAGTTAATGGTTACAACTAGGTTGTGAAATAGCTAACAGAACAGATCCAGAGAGGGTTAACTATCACGTCCAAAGTAACAAAACTAGAGGGATCCAAATAAGAACCAAATTCATTTGTTTTCCTTGTTTTAAACATTTTTGGTGAATGGTAGAAGATACCTTATAACAGAATTGTAAAACTGGAAAGAAGACGACATTTCTTACATTTTTGGTATTCGTCCTTGGTTTGGGGAGATGGATTTGGGCAGGAGCGCAGAGTATAGTGTTTTGTCTGTTGTGTGCATGCGTATGTGTGGCCAACTTCCCTGATATAGTCATTAGTCTCCCTTCTCTTAAGCACGTGACTACATTTCTGAGGTCTAGTCTGGGTGGAATTTCCTCAGTCAGCTCTTTTTTGTAGGCTTGGAGAAATATTTTAAATATGTAGAAACATATCTCTGTGATTTTTGAAAAACAAGTTGCATCGTTAATTTGCAACGTCTGTTTTTTCAAAACACCTTTTTGTTTCTTTTTGAATAGAAAGATGAAAACTACCGAAGCCTCCCACGGGATACTAGTAACTGGTCTAACCAATTTCAGAGAGACAATGCTCGCTCCTCTCTGAGTGCCAGTCATCCGATGGTGGACAAGTGGCTGGAAAAGCAAGAGCAGGTAACAGAAATGAATCTTTACAAACGTGTCATTGGTGTAATGTCCTACCCCACACCCCAAAGATGTTCTCCCCCCTAACAATGATGAGTAAAGGTAAATTATTCTAACAAACTTCAGTTAAGTACCAGGCTGTATGTTAGAGTCATCTAACATAAATTCAGAATATTTCTGTGGGCATCCTTGATCAAGACTTCTTACAAGCATTATGAATATTTACAGTAGATTTTGAAGGAATCACAACTTTAGAGTTTATACTGTTGCCAAGTCACAGTTATTTGGCAGTGAATAATAAAGTTAGTGAATAAATTTTCAAGGCTGCCTGTGGCCTCTTCTGTCATGGACAATAACTCAGAGGATCTGAAGAGACAAAATTTCTACTCTTCCTGGCTTCATCTTATGAGAGAAACATATGAAATTGTGGTTTTTCAGAATTTATATTATTTGGTTAGGTTTGAAGACTTCTCCTTTCAGAAATGTCAAGGGCCTAGTTTAGGTTTGTAAGTATTTAGAGTCGACTAGTTCACTATGCGTTGTAGCCACCTGCAATTCATGGAATCAGAATTGTTCACCACTCAGTAGACGTAACTGCTTCCTGTCTTGGGAAGAATGACTTTCCACAATTGTTACATCACTGTTAGAGAAGCAAATTGCCTTAGCTTCTATAAAGACTTAAGAATTTAACTGGTAGATTTTGATGTATAAAATACAGATTATTCCAGTGTTGCTTTTTTAAAGTCATGATGTTTTTATTGTTAGTCACCGTGGTTTTTTTCTGTGCTTGGGACTCCAGCGTGTTCTTTGTAATTTTAATAGTTTAAAATTATACTTGGTTACTTGGTCACTTGATTATTTTTTTAAAGAAGTTCCTATAGATGGAATACTAGGTGAGTACTCAGTGAAAGGATATTTTGTTGTTCATCTGCTTTAGCAATTTTTAAAATTTTTATTAATTCTGTTGCCTAGATATTAGAACAGCTGTTTTTCAATTTAGATATCAGTGGAGTGAAATCATAAGCATTTTACTTATTTCATCTCAGTCTATGTTTTATATCGCCAATCTCCTAAAATAATTTTGTGTATGGATGGTGTGCAAGAATGAAACATCAACACAAAAGGACAACTTGCCTTTGACACTATTGATGATATGGCAGATGTAATGATTTTTATCATATAGTAATTGCACCTGGGTGGTATAAATGGTTGATGCATTTGAGTGCGAACTGAAAGGTCAGAAGTTTGAATCCACTCAGAAGCACCTCAGAAGAAAGATCTGGTGATCTGCTTCCATAAAATCAGCCACTGAAAACCCTGTGGAGCACAGCTCTACTGTTGTCACGAGGCAGGTTCAACATGAGGATGACTGGTTAATTGTTCACATGTAAATATTGTGTGACAGAAATAATTTTTAAAATACAAAATAAATGAAGTTCTACTTAGGAAACACAATTTTCTCAAAATTGTACCGTATTTTTAAACTAATTGATGCTATTATTTTATTAGCACTTTGAAATTAATGTTTTATGATTTAGATGTTTTAGTGTGTGCCCTGGATTCAGACTGGCTGGTTGTCCCTGCTAGTGATTTACCATGTATGAGTGAGATTTGTGCATGTTACTAAATATGTTCATATCTCAGTTTACTCATCTATCAGATAGGATAATCCTAGAACTTGCTTCACAGAAATACCTGCTTCCTGTCTTAGGAAGAATGATTGTTTTGCAAAATTGTGATATAACACCCATGAAGGGTTTATAATTATGCCTGCCACTTAGAAGCACTCAATGTGTCTTAATAGATCAGTAAGAAAAAAATTGGCTGCTCACATCAGAAAAATCTAACTAAAAACAGATTAATTATGAAAAATTTATAGTTCATATAATAAGTCTGGGGGCAAGGAAGGCTTAGTGACAACATTGAGGAGCCAGATCTCCGTCTTTTCACTGCCACCTGCAGCACCTGGGCATTTTTCCTTAAGCTAGACTTCCTGTCAGAGCTCCAACCATTGCATCCTTACATGGCTGGAAGGGGAACAGGGCCCTTTTCTTCTTCATGGCTGTTTTTGAAATAAATAAACCTTTCTCACAAGCCCCCACAGCAGATGTCCTTTCGTATTTTGTTGGCCAGAATTGAATTACGTGCCCATTTCTACATCAGAGGGAGTAAAGTCATCAGAGTTAGTGTAGACTTATTGAACTGGACCCCCTGGAGCTGAGGGGTGGGTGGCTAACTTTCCCGGAAACACACGATTGCTCATACCTGGATCAAAATTGGGGTTCTTTTAAAGCAAGGAGGGAGGTGATGGTGTTGTCAGCGGTGGGGGGTGACAATCAGCAGTTAGCTAGATATGCTAAAATGACAATTTAAAAAAAAATTTTTTTTAATTGTACTTCAGATGAAGGTTTACGGAACAATTAGTTTCTCGTTAAAAAGTCAGTACACATATTGTTTTATGACATTGGTTAACAACTCCACGGCATGTCAGCACTCTCCTGTCTCGATCTTGGAGGACCCTTTTTTTGGTGAAAATATACGTATCCAAAGTTACACCATTTCATAAGTTTCTACATGTACAATTCAGTGACATTGATTACATTCTTCCGGTTGTGCTGCTATTCTCACTTTAGATGAAGGTTTGCAGAACAAAATAGTTTCTCATTAAACAGTTAGTACACATGTTGCCCTATGACAATGGTTAACAACCTCACAACACATCAACACTATCCTTACTCAACCTTGGGTTCCCTATCACCAGCTTTCCTGTCCCCTTCTGCCTTCTAGTCCTTGTCCCTGGACTGCTGTGCCTCATTAGTCCCGTTTTGTTTTATGGAGCTGTCCAATCCCCAGCTGAACGGTGAACCTCGGAAGTGACTTTACCACTGAGCTAAAAGGGTGTCTGGGAGCCATACTCTCGGGGTTTCTCCGGTCTCTTTCAGGCCAGTAAATCTGGTCTTTTTTGTGTGTGTTAGAATTTTGTTTTACATCCTTCTCCAGCTCTGTCCAGAGCCCTCTGTTGTGATCCCAGTCAGAGCAGTCAGTGGTGGTAGCCGGGCACCATCTAGCTGTACTGGACTCAGTCTGGTGGAGGCCTTTGGTCCATTAGTCCTTTGGACTAATCTTTTCCTTGTATCTTGTTCTCTTCATTCTCCCTTGGTCCCAAAGGGGTGAGACCAGTGGAGTATCTTAGATGGCTGCTCACAGGCTTTTGAGACCACAGGTGCTGCTCACCGAGGTAGAATGTAGACATTGTAAAATGACAATTTTTTAATGTGAGATTAGGAGAAAAAATTGGCAGCCCAGAGTTTCTAAAATAAAATATACTTAATTATGTTATGAAGATATAATTTTATTGCATTTGTAGATCTGTTTTTAAGAAAGTAATGTAATTCTGCTTTGTACTTTGGGCTCTAAGATAGTTGCTTTTTAAACAATAGTGATTGCATTGAGAATCCACACAAACACTTTTTTCTAAAAATTGAGTCTTGATTTGTTCTGTTGAAGTTATCTGAAGTATTGTAACATGCTCAAGCAGGTGTTTTGTTTTTTTTTTTTTATATGTACTCTTACTACCTTACTCTGTATAGACAACAGTAACTAAATGATTGCTAAAAAACTCTTTCTTCCTTGGTATAAGTTTAAAAAATGATGATCTATTCACTAAATTTGATATTGGGACTGCTTTTACCTTGAGCAGTACAGTCCATTGGTAATTTCACATCAGCAGGATAATTAATTAGACTGAAAACTATTTAACAAGGTAACAACAGCAGAAGAAAACTCATTAAAATAATATTTTTAAAAATGAGTTAGAAATAAGCACTATGATGTTTGAGCAAAAGAGGAGCAATAGGTTATGGAGGATACCACTGGAAATCCAGTTTAGCAGTTCTTGTGTTAGTGCAAATTCATTTTGTTAACTATTCCTTGTGACTCATCTGACTGGAATGGGTGACGTCTCTTCTGTGACTTTCTTTTCTCCTTAGTTTTTGCCATTAAAAATATAACGAAGAAGATGACATCACATAGATAAAAGAGTGCTTATAAGGTTAAAAAAAAAAAAAAAAAAAAAAAAATCAGCCCCCTGCCTTTATCTTTGGGATTCAGCAGGATAGAACGGATGGCTCTCTTGCTTTAGTTATGCCAGCTAGACTGAAGAGGTCAGTGGAGTTCTAGATTTTATATACCTCCAGTGGGTTTGTTTTTGCTGTTTCCTTCTAGAGTGCTTGTCTCTCATTATCTTTGTTTTTGAAGGCAATTATGACCACATCAGCTTTACCAGTGGGAATAAACATTAGGATGTAAAGGACAAAAAGACTGCTAGAGTGCTGAGCTAGCAGGTACCTTTAGACGCTGAGGGTGTCTTACTCTTTGTGTGAGATTGATATATTAGGGGATATTGAAACTTCTTTCCCTCTGTCAGAATATCAGTAAGTTTTACTTCTGTAACAAAAGGTGGGTGATGTATCTTATTAGAATTCTGTATCCGGGAGCCACTTGAGACCAAACCTGACATAATTTATAGAAATAATATCCTTGCTTTTCGGTGACTAATTCACCTTGCTCAGATAGAATAGGCTGTAGCTGAATCCTACATCAGATTTCATCTCACAAGATTGAGAGCTGTGTGTCTTTGAAAGAACATCCTTTTCTTGTGTCAATCTTGTGACTTCTTTTTTTTCTGGGAGATCTCAGAGGAAGGACAAAGGATTTGAAAACCAAATGGGTTATTGTTGAAAATGTATGCTTGAACCTGCTTTTGTACTCCTAATATTTTAACTCTGAGGCCCAAGAAACAAAAAGGCCAGCAGAATTCTTAGTTTTGATGTTTGACGATGTTTTAAAAAGTTTGAGTTCCTCTTAACTATTACCGTTCCCCTGACTCTAAGCAGACTATAATATTGGTAGATAATAGATCATAAGGTGACTTTGTTCTTTTATCCCCACACTTTACTGCAACTAATAAACCCCACAAAGGAGGAAGCAGGGAGTTTACAACACATGAC